TGTGAGGTCTCCCTGACTGAACATCAATGAAATGTAGTGTTTAGGTAAACCCTTGCACTGCAAAGTTTGTAGTTGCAAATTTTGTCTCCTTTAGTAAAGGAGATTTTACAATCATATTACGTGTATGGCCAGCGATTCTGCTTAGATTTAAAAGAGAATTATGAGGCGAGTGATTTTCACTCAGCCTCATAATCTGAGCCGACCTGTGACAATGAATCTGTCACAGGTCGGCCCAGTAGATCGGGAAGTGAGCGAACACATACCGGCGCTCGCTCACTTCTCGATCTATCCATGCAGAGACGTAACTGCCACTCACGGTGCCCTGCAGGGATTTCCCCCCCTCCCCTGCCTGATCCTCCAGCGCTGACTGGCGGAATGGACGGGGGAGGGGACGGGTACAGCTGGCTCTGCCTCTAGATAGGCAGAGCCAGCTGTCACTCACGCAGCTGGGTGGATCCAGACAGAATTGTCGGAATCCGTTCCGGCTGCGACGTCTCAGTATACCTCGAGCTGTATCTCGCAGTATACTGACCTTAGGGTGACGGAAGGACGCTATTTTGCTATTTTGTGTCCCCCCGTTACCTTTATGAGAAATATGGGGAAAAGCCCTAACCCCATAGTTCTCCTTTAAAGTGGAGCGTAACTCACCTCTCCTCGCCGGCGCTGATATCTTCACCCAACATTCTTCCAGGTTTGGGATCTTCGGCCTTCTTGATTGGCCGGGCTTGACTGACCTAATGCATGTGCACAAGAGTTCATTGATTCTGGTACTAAGCTGTGTTGAGAATATACACTAAGCAGTACATATGTAGCTCACTGTACACTCTAAAGCGGGCCATACACCTATAGATTATCTGCAGATTTTCTGTGGTCAGATGGAAAAAGTGCAACAGATTTCTCCATCTACGCTAAACTGTGTGGATGGAGGAATCTCCCACTGGGCCAAGATTCTTGCTAGTCGGCCGCGCTGGCTCTCAAAATACCTGAATAATCTGATTGGATGCAGGAATTGCTCAGGTGTTTTGAGAGCCAGTGGGGCCGACTATCAAGATACTGAAGCTTGGCTCAGCGGGAGATTCCTCCATCCACACAGTTTAGTGTAGATGGAGGAATCTGTTGCACTTTTTCCATCTGACCATAGAAGATCTGCACATAATCTATAGGTGTATGGCCTGCTTAAAGAAGACTGGGAACAGGCAGGAATGTTTTTAGGCATAGCATTTCTCTTCTGTAATAAAGAGTCTGCCTGCCTGCCATTATTTTTGTTTCATTTAGTTTCACATGAATAGAAATGCATCTATCACAAGGAAGAGTTGTAGAGTCCCACTAGCTGCCTGCCTGGCTACTATACTCTAGCAGGGTTATTCACAAAAGGGTGAAGAGTTTGGAGGAGGCAGGAGAAGTGAACAATCTAGGCCAAAATAGCTGATTTGAAAAATTATCCAATTCATCTCACTTTCCAGTTCAGCTATGTTGTCCTAGATTGTTCACTTCTCCTGTCTTCTCCAAACTCTTCACCCTTTAGTGAATAGCCCATAGTTTTGACCAGAAACATGTCTTCAAGTGCCTGTCATCCAGCAAACTGAATCACCAAATGGCTTTTTATATCTCACGGGGACCATTGACTTGAGACTCTCAGTTCCCAGCTCCATCCCACCTGTTGTGGCCACATTTAAAGGGGGTCCCACTAGGCTGCTGATGTTTATATTTCTTGTACACTTCATAGAAGTAATACAAGTGAGTTTCTCCTTGTGCAACAGTAAAAATAATGAAATATAACAAAATAAATCTATTATCTGGTGCCTGTGTGTGCACAATAAATGCACATGCTTCAATCAATGTTGGAAATTACTTTTCTTTTGAAAGAACCTTCACTTATGCATTTCCATAGGCTTGTAAGTGCTGTATGCAGTGTGGAAAAATCAACTGAGACAGAGGCAGAATTTATGTGCACAGTACATGGATGAGTCAACCAGCCTCATGTTAACATTGGTTCTTTCTCAGGTTGTAGCCAGGAGGACGGACCCTGTCTGTCCGTCCTTCATGTAAAGGCTAGTGTTCAGATAGGCCAGCCTGGACCACTGGTAAGCTGGGCATTTGCCAGCTAGAAGCCATACAGGACTAATAGTAAAATGCACTGGGCCCCAGCTCTTCGGGACATTCAAGTGCCACAGAAGAGTAAGGAAAATGTTTTTGCCCCCAAAAAATGAACAGATACATGTAACCCCTTAACGTTTTATTTCACAATACATACAGCACTTAATGGGAGTCTGTAAAGGAAAACATACGCACATTGATTGCCACATGTACTATTCTGTACATATAGATGCATATAGGTACCATATAAGAAGCACTTTCTAAGGAATCTTTTTTTTTTTGACGGCAGCAGAAGGAAAACTATAGGAAACTATTGGGCGGAGCTAGCTGTCACTGCTAGCTCCGCACAATCGTTTGCTATTTACTTTTTTTTAACTTTTTTAACAATTTTTCTGTTCTGCTCGGTACCTCTGAGGGACCGAGCAGAACAGCCGAGCTTACTCGGCTGCCCTCGGCAGCTTAGTGAATAGACCCGTATAATAGTTTTTTCTAGTTTTTTCTCGTCCAACCCCCGTCAGTCCATTATTAGCTGGAAGGGCTACATACTGCTCAAATTTCAGCCAAGTCAGCAGGACTTGCTCAAAATCCAAGTGTAAGCCTGCTTAAGTGCGATCATTCTACTTGCTATCTTCACTTCACGCTAAAATGAATGCTTTATATTTCAGTGGTAGCCACCACATTTACAGAAACATCCATAAAAATCTAAATAGGTACTCACAGGTCTTGCAGCAGAATTATTCAAAGTATCAGCATTCTATTGTTGACATTTAGACAGAGCTCAGTATTGATAAAGAGGTGACAATAAAATGCTGATGCTTTGACTTATCTCCGCTTCAAGACCTGTAAGTTCCTCTATACCGATTTTTTTTTTTTGTATTATTATTTTGCCCTGGAAATCCTGCCAGTAACACACTTCCTTTCCTAGGATGACAGCACCACTCACATAGATACAGTGGTAAGTGAGCGTTGCCACCCTGTGACAGTTCACTGTGTAACCTTGAGGAAGGGACCCTGCATGGCCCCGAAACATTACCTATTTTGACCAAAGTGATGTTATTTGCAATAAACAATATTTTCTTTGCATTTTGGAGTGCTGGTGACTTATGTTCTCACCATAGGAAAGGACACTATAGAATACCTCCCCTCTCATCTATCTGTAGTGCCCTATCCTAGAGTGACAAAACTTACCAAACTGTATCTATGATGGAGCAGCGTTGTCACCCTGGGTAAGGGACTAAAGAACACTCCCCCCTCTCCTAATCTCCATAACATTGGGGTTGTTCTGTAGTTCACAGAAGATTGTTTGGAAAGCAGATGACACTGTTTGAGATTTCAGTCCAGTGCGCAGGGATAATGGACTTCTATCAAGATCATTGGGTATTTTTCTGTACGTGCAAAAACTGTACTTAGCACACAGAAAGGAAAACGAATGCAGTCACCGCCTCTAAGGACTGGTAGGCTGCAGTAGTATAAATGTTTATTATTGAGTATATATACTGTATATATATATATAT